AGCCTAAAACAGTCAGCTTCTAAATCCCAGACTGATCCTCAACGGTTGGGGCGCGCCAACAACTTCCCAACAATTCTGCATCCCCGGTATTATTGGGCAGCCATAAAATATAAAAATTTTAGACTTATGCGGAACCTATACATGAACTTAATTGATAAGAACAAAATAAGGGAATTGCGAAACCATAGGCGCAGCGGAGCTTCGCACCACTTGTGATACCAAGAAAACATTACATAGCAAGCTAGCAGACATAAATTGAGACCACAGAAATTGGAAGCCACTAGAAAATTTTAAGGTCGAAAAACGAGGACTTCATATGTTTAACTCATTTTCAAGACAATCTCGAAAAACACAACCTCAGATGTTGATATAAACATTCAAACATTGGGCAAACGGGTCAAAATTGGGGTGATTTAGGCTCATTTGAGGGACAGCCATGCATTAAGTAGACTGTTTGACAACTGTATTGCAAAAAATTGAAACCAACGATGAAACTTTCAGACAAGCGTATGGCTAAACTAAACAATCAACAAGTCAATGTCCATTGTATAAACTGAAAAGGAACGCGAAATGTTGGACTGAATAAAATACGAAATTCAGCTGACTTAATCATTTTTTCATTTAGCACTAGATCGGAAATAATGAGAAAACCAATTTATCTTCATCATTGAAGTAGCTTTAGTAGACCATTTTGTTCGAATTGAAACAGAGCAATAGGTTGAAATATAGAGGAAATGATTTTAAATTATCGCACCGATGACGTCAAACAAAGATGGAATAAATGAACAGACTTTTGATGTCAAGAATTCGAACCCAACTGATTGAGTTTACAATTTCCAATTACAAACACACTCTTGAAAGGAAACTCTCTAACGGAAGGTCTAATTTTATGCAAGCAAAACAGAACCGAGCAAGAAATTTGTTCCGCAATTAACTAGGTGACATATTTCCATGACTGTACCTAAAACAGTCAGCTTCTAAATCCCAGACTGATCCTCAACGGTTGGGACGCGCCAACAACTTCCCAACAATTCTGCGTCCCCGGTATTATTAGGCAGCCATACAAGATTAAAATTTTAGATTTATGGGGAACCTGTACATGAACTAATTTGATAAGAACAAAACAAGGGAATTGCGACTTGGTATTTTCGACAAAATTGAAGGCAACTAATTGGGACACCTTGGCGGCACGGTGAGAGATTTGTTAGTTCAAAACTTTTGGGAAAAAAAGATTACTTAACATATAGGCGCAGCGGAGCTTCGCACCACTTGTGATACCATAAAAACATTACATAGCAAGCTAGCAGGCAGAAATTGAGACCACAGAAATTGGAAGCCACTAGAAAATTTTAAGGTCGAAAAACGAAGACTTCATATGTTTAACTCATTTTGAAGACAATATCGAAAAACACGACCTCAGATGTTGATATAAACATTCAAACATTGGGCAAACGGGTCAAAATTGGGGTGATTTAGGCTCATTCGAGGGACAGCCATGCATTAAGTAGACTGTTTGACAACTGTATTGCAAAAAATTGAAACCAACGATGAAACTTTCAGACAAGCGTATGGCTAAACTAAACAATTAACAAGTCAATACCCATTGTATAAACTGAAAAGGAACGCGAAATGTTGGACTGAATAAAATACGAAATTCAGCTGACTTGATCATTTTTTCATTTAGCACTAGATAGTAAATAATGAGAAAACTACTTTATCTTCATCATTGAAGTAGCTTTAGTAGACCATTTTGTTCGAATTGAAACAGCAATAAGTTGAAATATAGAGGAAATGATTTTAAATTAACGCACCGATGACGTCAAACAAAGATGGAATAAATGAACAGACTTTTGACGTCAAGAATTCGAACCCATCTGATTGAGTTTACAATTTCCAATTACAAACACACTCCTGAAAGGAAACTCTCTAACGGAAGGTCTAATTTTATCCAAGCATAATAGAACCGAGCAAGAATTTGTTCCGCAATTAACTAGGTGACATATTTCCATGACTGAGCCTAAAACAGTCAGCTTCTAAATCCCAGACTGATCCTCAACGGTTGGGACGCGCCAACAACTTCCCAACAATTCTGCGTCCCCGGTATTATTAGGCAGCCATACAAGATTAAAATTTTAGATTTATGGGGAACCTGTACATGAACTTATTTGATAAGAACAAAACAAGGGAATTGCGACTTGGTATTTTCGACAAAATTGAAGGCAACTAATTGGGACACCTTGGCGGCACGGTGAGAGATTTGTTAGTTCAAAACTTTTGGGAAAAAAAGATTAATTAACATATAGGCGCAGCGGAGCTTCGCACCACTTGTGATACCATAAAAACATTACATAGCAAGCTAGCAGGCAGAAATTGAGACCACAGAAATTGGAAGCCACTAGAAAATTTTAAGGTCGAAAAACGAAGACTTCATATGTTTAACTCATTTTGAAGACAATATCGAAAAACACGACCTCAGATGTTGATATAAACATTCAAACATTGGGCAAACGGGTCAAAATTGGGGTGATTTAGGCTCATTTGAGGGACAGCCATGCATTAAGTAGACTGTTTGACAACTGTATTGCAAAAAATTGAAACCAACGATGAAACTTTCAGACAAGCGTATGGCTAAACTAAACAATTAACAAGTCAATACCCATTGTATAAACTGAAAAGGAACGCGAAATGTTGGACTGAATAAAATACGAAATTCAGCTGACTTGATCATTTTTTCATTTAGCACTAGATAGTAAATAATGAGAAAACTACTTTATCTTCATCATTGAAGTAGCTTTAGTAGACCATTTTGTTCGAATTGAAACAGCAATAAGTTGAAATATAGAGGAAATGATTTTAAATTAACGCACCGATGACGTCAAACAAAGATGGAATAAATTTTAGATTTATGGGGAACCTGTACGAGAACTTATTTGATAAGAACAAAACAAGGGAATTGCGACTTGGTATTTTCGACAAATTTGAAGGCATCTAATTGGGACACCTTGGCGGCACGGTGAGGGATTTGTTAGTTCAAAACTTTTGGGAAAAAAAGATTACTTAACATATAGGCGCAGCGGAGCTTCGCACCACTTGTGATACCATAAAAACATTACATAGCAAGCCAGCGGGCAGAAATTGAGACCACAGAATTGGAAGCCACTAGAAAACTTTAAGGTCGAAAAACGAATACTTCATATGTTTGACTCATTTTGAAGACAACCTCGAAAAACACAACCTCGGATGTTGATATAAACATTCAGAAAAAAATATCGAGCTTCAACTAAGCCGCAAATTCTTGGGTAGACACTCATTGAGACGAAAACAAAATTGTTGCCATGAAAAATTTTGAAATAAAAAAGCTTTGATATATGCTTTAACAAATTTTGCGCTCTCGGACTAAATTCCCCGGAATTTAGTCCGGGCGCGCAAAATTTGTTATATCAAAGCTTTATTATTCCAAAATTTTAAAATGAAAAAATTCAATTCGTTTGATTTTCTGAAAAAAAAGAAATTATTGCCCCTGGGGAAACCTCTACAGCATCCCACGATTGGGCGGTTTATTTTAAACTTGGTGACAAAAAAACACTGAATTCAAACTGGAAAATTGAAAAAAAAAATTAGCCATTCTAGATACGAGATAGCTTAAACGTGAAAAAACTCTGGTTAAACATGCTAAAAGAATACATACAAAGAGCTTAAACGTGACAAGATATTGAAGCCCGCAATTGAATATATAATAGATAGATAGATTTTTTGTGTTTGCAAAAGAAACACGTTCAGGCTGCCCCAAGCGTGCCGAAGATAAAGAACCTCTTCTTCTAAATTGCATGAAACTTTTTGAAGCTGCAGGTTACTCGTAACTTCTATAACGGCTAAAACAGCCTTTGAAACGATGAAAAGCTACTTCATCGTACAAGAAAGACCTTTTTCGAAATAATGCAACAAATTAAACTCATCTTATTATTTTTTATTCAAATGACAGAAAACCGAATTACGGTTTTTTTATATAAGCTTTACAATCAAATAAGGTTGAGAAAAATTATTGCAGATTGTATTTTATAGTTGAGCAATACGTGGTTTCATGTCGAAAAATACGCCTCCTTTTCCCTCCACCCAGTAAAATTACTGTTCCCACCAACCGATTGTTATGAAAATCGACATGCGGCCATGACAAACATATTTGGTCTTCATAATCAAATAATCAACCATGTAAAACCAATCAATACACCATAAAATTGATATTCATATGAGTTGGGGGAAAGAAAAAGAGCCGAAAATACTATAACCAAGAGTATTTACGACATATGAGTAGGAGACATCTTTTCAGAAAAGAATTGGAGTCTTATGAACGCATCCAAAAACTGAAGGGATCCACGCTAATTTAGCATGTAATTAATCAGAAAACATAAAGCCACATCATGTAAAAATTATGCATTATAAAAAAATACAAGATATATTGAGTTAGAAAATTTCAGAAATCGAGTTTCTACACAGAGGCGCAGCGGAGATACAAAAAATATAAAAATTAAATGTTGAAAAAAAACTAGGTGAACCGAAACTTTCGCATGTAAAAAAAACAACTAGGGGCCCAGCTAAAGCTGGAGGTACCTGCTTGATACTGAATGAAATTTCTATACTCATGCGGCACGAAAAAAGTGATTTCAAAAACTGGACTTTAACCAAAATCTTAGTTGTTTCTCAACTAATTTTGAGCTTATAAAAAAATGCAAGATATATTGAGTTAGAAAATTTCAGAAATCGAGTTTCTACAAAAAAAATCCAACATGTGCACGTACCGTCGCATGACGGAAGGGCCCATTTTAATTGACCCTTTTAAAAAAAAACTAATTTTGAGATAATCAATTTTCCCAAAGATGTAACATTTCTCTTACGAGAAACTAAGGAGTCTATAGGAATAATTCTCCCAGTCGGGTTTTTCAAATGGACTTATTATCTCAGATTTGATTGGTTAATTTCTAGGAATAATCAAAAAATTTATAAATTGTTGTGATAAACTTATTAAATAGGTTTGATATGTCTCAAGCAAAAGCTGCTAGATGTGGACCATGCAACAAACCAGTGAAGGACAACGACTCAACTGCTATAGGATGTGAAAAGTGCAGCGCGTGGTTCCATGGGCAATGTGTTGGATTGTCTCCTGATGATGTAGCTACAATGGGCAAAATTCGAGGATGCTTCTGGCTGTGCTCTGGCTGCCTTGAGGGGAACATCTTCACATCCCAAGCTAAGTTTGAACTGATTATTCAAAGACAAGAAAGCTTAATCGAAATTACAAAAAGCATTAAAGAAACTGTTGAAAATGTTGATCCAACCAAGACAACATCATCGAATGTACCGGTTAATAGTCGTATTAATAACAGTTGTTGTTGTTGTTGTTGTTGTTGGGGATTCACAGCACTGCTGTTGGGATTCTTGGTCCCGGCGTCTTCTCTAAAACAATGTCCACTTGTTTCTGCACGTGATACAATCACAGAATAATTGCCACGTTCACGTTGTCATTTCTGAAAATCTCTCGTTTACAAATTTCCACATCGTGTTTAAAATTCTCGTCTTGAGGCCGATTCGTTTATCAAAATGAATATATGGTTCTAATCGATTTACAATCCTACTGGTTCTGAAAACAAATTCGTTTCTCGCTTTTTCCGTTCTCACTTTTCGCATCTCAAAAATTTCTGTAATTCTAGCCCGTGTGGTTCGCCTGTTTAACACTATTTCATTTCGTTCATTAGAATCAAGACTGGCAAGAAGTAAGATGTTATTTAGCTGGATGAACATGGGCAGAGGTAAAATGTTTAGCAAGCGTAGTTCGTTGATGTACACTCCCGTTTTATTTCCAGTGATCCAACGGATTTCTTTCTTTTGAAATCGCTCCAACTGCAATTGATCCCCCCTCGATATATGTGTACATGAGAGTCCGTAAAATAACACTGGGAGTATTAGTGACTTATACAGGCCTAACTTTACAAACGTATTTATCTTTGCTGATAGGTTTCTTCTCAGGAGGTACAGTACTTGCTTTGCCTTCTTTAATCTTGTTTCAATGTGTACCTTCCAACTTAAATCGCCCGACACAAAAATTCCCAGATCTTTCACAACCATCGATGTTCCAAGCACTACACCAAAAAGCATAGAGTTAGCGTATCCGCCCCTAAAACTTACTTTTGCACATTTATCTAGTGCTAATTCGCTAATTCCATTTTGTTTTCGGTTACCTACTGCTGAATTTTGTCCAGATCTTCTTGAATTTCAATTGATGTTTTTTTGATGGAAAGTAGTTTAAGATCATCCGCAAAAATAAATGGTTCAGAGAATTTGAGTACTTCAGGTAGGTCGTTAATAAAAATGCAAAAGAGCAGTGGTCCTAAAAGTGATCCTTGGGGAACACCACTAGTGACTTCTAAAACTTTTGAGCTGATATTGTCTACTCGTACAAACTGTTTCCTGTTTTTCAAATAGTCATAGAGTACCTCTAACATGCAGCCTCCTATTCCTATAAGTGCAACTTTCTTAAGTAGATCAAAATGCGGAACTTTATCAAAGGCTTTTGCAAAGTCAGTGTAGACTGCTACAATTTCTGCGTTTGAGTCAATGTCAAGCGCTTCATATATTTCTTTCAGGTAAGAGAGCATGTTTGTCAAAACTGATCTACCTTTAGTAAAACCGTGTTGATGTTTCGTCAAATACCAGGCAAAGTAAGGGTACAGGTCTTTGTATATACATTTTTCAAGGACTTTGCTGTCAATATTTAATAGCGATACTGGTCGATAGTTGTTCACCATTTTTCGGTCACCTTTTTTGTGAACAGGAGTAACTGCAGCTGTTTTCCATGAATCAGGTATTTTTCGTAGGCGTTTTACGTTTCTCAAAAGTTTGTTCATCGGTTTGCATATATTGCGGTTCGTTTTCTGAAAAAAGCTAGGTGGCAACCCATTTGGGCCGCGTGACTTTGTTACGTCCAGAGTTGATAAAATCTCACTTACTGTCTTTTTCGATATATCAAAATTCGTTAACAAGGGATTTTCAAATTGAATATCTCTAATACTAAAACTTTCTTTAGGATTAAAAACTGAATGAAAGAAGTCGTTTAGCATGTTGACTTGTTCGTTTGGATTTGTGCTTTCAACTTCATCTTTTATGAGTAACTTAGGAAGACTTCTATGTTTATTCAAGTTCTATAGGTGTTTAAAAATTACATTAGTGTTCCGTGTTCTAAACAATTCCTCTTGGTAGTTTTTCCTGTCCAATTCCGATGATTCAGTTACTAAATTTTCAAACAGTTTAACTTGTTGTCTTCTGTAGTTGGTCGGTTTGAGTATACATGATTGCCGTTTTGTTTGTAACTTTTTGATCAAATTTGAAGTGCTACTTGTTATCCAAGGTGGAAGTGATTTCCTATGTCTTGTTCTGAGAGGCACAAAACTCTTAATGATTTCATCCAAATATTGGGTGTACTCCTCATGCATTTTGTTAATGTTTGTGTGGCATACTGGTTCAAATGGATTCTCGTTTATAAATTTGTTTATTCCTTCAAAATCGGCATTTCCAAAACTTCTAAAATTTTCCAAGTATGGTTTCGGCTCTGATACCGTGCATTCAATATTCAATAGACAACATTATGGCATTGTGATCTGAGCAGTCATAAATCTTGGAAACGTTAAAATCTTGTTCGGCACTTGTATAGCAATTCCGATAGAAGGCTACGTCTAGTATGTTCTTCACACATGTTGGGAAATCTATCGCCTGCCTAAAGAGTCCATTTTCAAAAAGTTGCAGTTTTTGGTTTTCTTCCTCGTCAGTACTGGTGAGGGTGTTCCAGTTTGTTTCTGGGAAATTTAAATCCCCACATAAGAGAAGCGGTTTGTTTTTAGGAATGGCTTTGATCAGTTGTTCAAATTCATGCACTTTGTATCTGTAATTACTGTTTTTTGGCGGATTGTAGAATGAGCCAATTATCATTTCAGTTTGATGAAGTTTTATACTACATAGCACACATGAATCAGGAATGTCATGTTTGGTGGATAAGTCCTCGGTAATTAGACTATTCTTGACAGCTATTAGGCTGCCTCCGTGACAGTTTTTACCACTCACAATAGCTCTATCAGATCTATAGATGTTATATTCACTTAGAAAAAGCTCTGATGATTGAATATTCTCGTTAAGCCAAGTTTCGCTTAAGCATATGACATTAAAATTTCCAACTGCAATTGCATTTGCTAGCTTAGTTCTTCTCTCTATGATGATTAGGCTTCTAGTATTTAGTTGCAGAATGTTGAGGAATCCTAGTCAATGCTGGGGTTCCTGAACTTCAGTGTCATTAGTTACTTTCACACCATCATTGAACAATTCTAGATTCCTTATTTTCAGCTTTTCGCGAGGAACGCCTTCATCTAGTAGTTGTCTTCGTTTCTTAAGGATTTCGTTCTCTTTAATTGCACTCTCTTTGGTCAATGCTGGTAGCAGGTAGACCTCTTTTTCGACCAATTGTTCTCGCTTTTCTTGGCTTTTTGCTAGAACTAGTCGTGCTTCATGTTCGCTAGGTACAGTTACCAGCAGTGTTCTTGGCTTCATTCGATTACGATCAAATTTTCCTAGTCGTTTTAGTTCTATTATTTTCGGCTTCACTCCAATTATGTCTAGTATTTCGTTTACTTCGTCATTTGTTGGGACAAGGTTTTCTCCTTTTGTTTTCTCAGGGTCCTCTTTGACCCCTTGTATCCTAAAACTTTGATTTATGTTGTGATCAGAGTTAGATCTGGCAGCATGTTGAGTGGTTTGAGCTTGATTTATCCGGGTGGTGGTTTCAGCAGCTACAACGGCACTATATGTTTTTTCCACTTTATCGCATGTCGTTTTCATTGCATTTCCAATTTTTTGATCTACTAAATCGGTAAGTCTTCTTTCCATGCTTTTAAGGCTTTCAGTTACATCAATGTTTGAGAGCTTCTCGTCTATGTTGGCCAGGGTTTTGCATCTTATAAAGTTGTCTCGTTCATTATTTTGCACACAAGTATTACAAAGCAACATGACATTCGGCCCTAGTTCTTTTATTCCATTTATGGCCACTAGAGACAACCCAACACAAGTTGGTTCCAAATGCGTTTGAGCGTTGCATGCGACACAAGTGTATGTTTTCTCGTTGCCGGCAAAGCCTCTTTTACATGTTTTGCAGTTTTTGCCCATTTTTGCTTATACTATGGATAGAAAAACAGTTAAACCTGGTGGTTCCCGAAAAGGGGAGGCCTGTGGCTCACTCAGGGGAAAAAGAAGAAATAGACAAACCTGGTGGTTCCCGAAAAGGGGAGGCCTGCGGTTCATTATTTCTACTTACGTTAATAGGGGCACTGACAGTTCTTGAAACGACACTCGTAATATACCAGATGTCCTTCTGTATTGCAGATGTTCGAATGTTTATCGTATAAGATTTTATTCTTGAGAATACTTTTAATGCCCTTCAGACCTTCTTCACTGAGGTGCACTTCGTCAGTTTTCAAATGATCTGAGCTGTGGATTTTTTCATTCACTCCTCTAAACTTCCAAGTTCCTTTTATCTTTCTTAGGAATTCGTTTATTTTTGCAGATTGAGCTCGGTTCTCACTACGATGAGGGATTCCGATGACGAAAACTTTTTTGGCTCGTTCACACAGCTCCTCGGCTAGCTTCGACAGTTCTTCAGCAATGTCGCCTGCAGGTATACTGGAGGGGTCTTTTCCGTTGAAGGCGTCGTTTCCGCCGATGAGCAGAGCGATGATGTTGAATTTGTCTTTCTCGGGTAAGAAGTTTTGGACCGCACCAATTCGGGCCCCAGGTAGGGACAAGATATTGAAATTTGGAAAATCAAGATGGCAGGCTTGAGAATCCGCAATCAGGAGATTTTTTGAAGATGATGTCTTGAGCAAGTGATATCTTCTGTCGGTCATTTTATCGCGGGGCAACCATTGCTACCCCGGTAAACATTTCAAGAATCTGAAACTATTTAATAACAGTCACCGGGCCAACACATGTGAAA